CATTGTCCAGTGGCATAATGTACACCTCTGCCTCTTCCCGAAGGGATACCTTCGGGAATAAAAGGCGTGATGTTATGATGATAATTTAAATTTTGATGTCACTAAACTCTACAATACTTTGTTACGTTTACATAACATCACGCCTTTTATTCCCGAAGGTGTAGGCAAAGGTGCACTTAATACGTTTACAGATTCATAATAATATAATTTTCAATCGACGTCAACTTCCTTTTACTTGAAGTCGATTAATATACTTAAACCTCCTATTGAGTACATATAACAAACATTTTTTTTATTTCATTATCGAGCTATCGCTAGATAATCGCAGATAACTATACATTCCTCCTTCTTTTTTCAATTCGTTTTAAATCTCTCTCTTACTGACTAAAAACCACCCCGTTCCTTCTCCTGCGCTTTGAGCCGGAGCCCCGGTGACCCATTGCTTTGAGATTGCATTCAGTTAGGCTGTCGAAAAGTTTTTTAAAAATGAGAATGAAATCATTTATTTGTACACTTTACTGTACACCACAATAAACTTATATAAATGTCGTAGTGGCCTAGAGGTTTATGGTACCCGCTTCTATTGCATGAGAGTGCGAGTTCAAAACCTACTAACAACAAGTACCAATGAGATTTTTTCCGAGTTATATGTGCTTCTTAAGATTGTACAGACCAATGACAAACGGTGAAGGAAATCATCGTGAGGAAACCTGGCCTTAACATAACATAACATCACGCCTTTTATCCCTGTAGGGGTAGGCAGAGGTGCAAACAGAAGTAACACCCACTTTTCACTATTTATGTTACGAGTCCCATGTAATAGGGTGAGCCTATTGCCATATACCGGGTACATTTCCAGACTTCGTGCTACTACTGAGATTTTTTTTTAAAAACTCAGTAATACTTTGCCCGACCCGGGAATCGAACCTGAGACCCCTTGCCCGGCAGTCACACTTGCGACCATTCGTCCAATAAGGCAGTCGTGGAGTATATACCCTTGGTAGTCATAGAGTGTATACTCTTGATACAATATAAAATGCAGCATTCGCCTAAGTATAATCAGTTGAGTCCAAGATATACAAGTCAATAAGTAAACATGTTAATTTACTATTAACATACATTTATTTGTTCATTCATTTATGAATTCACGTAATTAATTTAATTACAACTTAATGTGGTCACTGATCAGTGAATTAGATAAACCGAACACAATTAATTGCTTTACAAAACTAACTATGGTTTTCTCGTATTTTTGTAAGTATTAATTTATTATAGTTTATGTCCATAAAATTTAATTTGCCTACGCCGTACGATTTATGTTTACAAAAATTGAGATTCACTATTATTACTACTGCCTGGTTATTTTCTAAATATGTGTAGTATTGTCTCTCTAATATAAGAACGAATCGATAACGCTACCTACAGAAAAGTAAAAAAGGTAATAAATGAATGAGATAAGAAATTATTCATATCAATGACATACCTTTTTTTTTCAGTTTTCTCATTCCAAATCAAGCATTCGCAGCCCAATTAATTTCATCAAACGAAATATAAGCAACAAAAAAAAAAAATAAACATGAAAAGCGATGCGTACAACACACAGGAGCTTTGAGTTCGTCTTTGATAAAAATACAAATAGATGACATTCCACGCACCCCTCTCTCGATGAAGTTACACATTGAGATTCTAAAAGACATCTTAACGATTCCCAAAGAATTAGGCCGAAACAAACCGTTAGATATTAAACTTCAAAGGAACCTATTCATTTACAGTTCGAAAGAATTCGAAAATGTCACGGGCATCCACCTCGACACATTCAAATTGATTCGTATTTTTATCACGTTTCGCTAAATCCCCTAGCACGACAATCCTTTTAATTAAACATTAAAACATTCCTTGTCGCCTATTCCTGACTCCGAACGGATTTCAAACGTAAAACGGGCTTAATTACGCCTATTTCCCTCATAATTTACAACTGTGTAACTTTAGAACGGAAAGCCTGCTTTTGCATATTTGTAACAAAAAGAAAAAAAATAGGTGTTTATTTTTTTTTTTGGTTGTACAGATTAATGCATTGCGCAATACGGACGCGAAATATTTTTATGGTGGTGGACCGGCTAAAAATTATGGTATGTAGGTGGGGGGAGGGTCGGTCCACGCAAACTCGCTGCCATAACCTCTCTGGATGCCGCGACGGGCGACCGCGCGTCGTATCGCCGAGAACTCCGCATTCGAATTTCGAAAAAAACCGTTTAAAATTTTTATGTTAGTGATGTGTACGTGTTGGTGACTTGTCTGTGGATTTTGAATATGGCGTTTTGTGTTGTGTTGGTTTAAAGGATCGCTGGTACCTTCCATGGTGAGTTTTATACCTATTTTACTCATTTCGTTGACCACGTTTTCGTATTCAAATTATAATTTAAATTAAACTATCTGTTTTAAAATGTTTTAATATTTAAAATTATTAGTATTTTATTATAACTCTATGATTGATTTAAAATATAAACATTATTTAATTCTAATCGTAATTTAATAATCATTAAAATACATCTACATCTAATCACATTAACAAATAATTCAGAAAACAATTTACGGTAAAATATTTTACAAGCTTTCTGCGATAATAATTATGTAGATATTTGATGACTCAGAGATAAATTTACGGACGAGCTCATAAATATATTTTATGAGTGATAGCATAAAAAAGACAATGAAATATTTCACCTGTATAATATTCAATCATCTGTGAAAAAATGGGGAGACGGTGTCGCACGAATATATAAATATCTACGTATATAAAATATGTGTTATCCTAAATAAGGTTTACGAAAAATATTTATATAAGACTACGTTATACCATTTCATTGTAAAAATATTCGTCTCGTTCAGAAATCTAGAAGGAATATTTATTCAAATTACGTTTTCGCTCGCTGCTGAAAGTCGCCGAGTTTTGGGGTGATAAATTATTTTGAATTAAATTATTATACTTAGTAATAAAAAGACAAGTAGAGTATTTTTGCTGGAATATTGTCGTTTTGTTCTTTACTATACCTACTTGAGTGATACCGCAAATTATGGTCACTACGGTTCCAGACTACGGCGTAGCATGGCTACGAACATCTACGAAGGATCGTAGCCACTGTGCTTAGTTGACCTCTACGGCTGCTACGGTGAATGAACCGAGGAGAATTATGTTGTAATCACCACTTTGTGAAGTGGTGATTATTATTCGTTAATCTATTGGGGATTAAAAAATGTTCTAAATATGAATTTGAGTGTTGTGCAAAGGGCATTGCGGAAAATGTTTTTATTTATCTAGAAAAATAAAAATATTTTCTTTTAACTGATTCATAACGGTTAGCATACATACTAAGAACAAAACAAGAGACATAAATCTAGACACAAAAACCGTAGTCTATTTTTAATCACCAAATTATCATGCCACTAATCACTATTAACTATTTAGTAATTTTTCTAAATAGAGTTTAAATATAAAAGTATAATAAACTGAAATATAAACACGACTAGTTATAATAAATTAAACGTAGTTTACTATTCATTTCGTTAAATAAAATGTGTTACTGATTCTAATATAAGAATTTTCCGTTATTTTATTTTTAACGAGCAGCTTCTGATTATATTTTTCTAAAACTTACTTATTCTTTTTGTTTTATTGTAGATATTATTTTCAGATTTTCCTTGTTCATTTATCTGTCTGACTAGTTCGTTAAGTTCGAATGGAACGATATGAGAATCAATCTCATATCGATCAAAGTAGAGTTAAGTAATATTCAGATTTTAGGCAATAAGTATCATTGGTATGCAATTCGACATTGTGTTTAATATTTTTAACATTATCCCTCATAGCCAATGGTTCTTACGATCCTTTATCATGTCAGTAGTTCCAGCATTAGACGTTTCGTTAAGTACCTACCTGTCTATGGTTTAATTAAATAAATACTTTGTATTCGAACAAAGCTAACAAACAATAAAAGTGTTAAATGAATTAGGTATTCGGAACATAACATAACATCACGCCTTTTATCCCCGAGGGGATAGGCAGAGATGCGCATTCCGGTACTTAACGTCGCTGTACAATGTAACACCCACTCTTTTCACTATTTATGTTAAGAGTCCCATGTAATAGGGGGTGAGTCTATTACCATACCGGGCACTATTAAAGACTCCATGCTACTACTGAGAATATTAAAAAAAACCAAAAGCAATTTGCCCTACCCGAGAATCTTTTATCATATTGGTATACTTCGCATACACTATTGTAAGTACTTATAATAGTTAATCTATTTTTACCTACGAAGTAGAAATGAAAGATGACAAAGACCTATATTAGGATAGATTTAATTGGATTGTATGTACTGATGTAACAATACAAAGGAATCATGTATCATTAATGTTTATCTAATCAATACGTAGGTTGCTATGATCAATTACATCAATCTGTTGGAATCACTGTCAGCTTTGTTATTCTTTTTTGTGGTTATAAGTTACAAGAAGGAAACCCAAATACAAACAAATACCTTTCCTCAATCTCCCCAATCCCTGAATCGCCAACAATCCTCAAATTCCTAAATGCGTTACCGGCCTTCTGGAAAAACCTCTTAACGCACTTGTAACGGACCGGTGTTCCAGGTGTCTATGGGCGGTGCCGATTGTTCACCATCAGGTGATACGTCGGCTCGTTTACTGGCTTATACCATAAAAAGAACTAAATTATAAGTGTGATACGATTTATTTTTTTAGTTTGGCTTTCAAATCAAAGTATAATATTTTATATTTACATAATAAAAAAAAAATACTATGCAACCATAACAAGCCAATCAGCTTATTTGTAAGTCATCAGGTTAAAAATGATAGGGCTGCATGCTATAGTAGACCTGATACTAATAATTAAAACTTGTTAGAATTTAAATTATATCTGAAAGTACGAATGTAAAATATAAAATAAATGTTTTCGTGAAAAGAAAGAAAGGAATATTTAAAGAGTTTTTATAAAGGAAGACATATTCTGCCATTATGAGATGATATTATCAAAAGCTACAAATAAAAAGGTCATTGTTGCTAATTATCATTAATCATTATTAATAAAATCTAACATAATATTAATTGACTGCGTCGTTGGCCGAGTGATCGCAAGTGCGACTGCCGGGCAAGAGGGTTCGATTCCCGGGTCGAGCAAAGTATTACTGGGTTTTTAAAAATTCTCAGTTAGTAGCACGGAGCCTGGAATTGTGTCCGGTATATGACAATAGGCTCACCCCCTATTACATGGGACTTAAAGACATAAATAGTGAAATGTTGGTGATACATTGTACAGTGGCATAATGTGCACCTCTGCCTACCCCTTTGGGGATAAAAGGCGTGATGTTATGTTATATTATGTTATACTATTAATACAATCGATAAATAATAATCACAGGATTGTTCCAAAGTAAATGATCATGTTATAAAATATTTCTATGATATTTCCTACTTATGACACATCCGTAATCGTGTTACGGATACGATTCCCGCAGCACAAACTCGTGTCGCCAAATATTCCCGCAGCGATTTGTAACACTACTTCGATTCCTTTTAAAACAAATGGACATTTTAGTACTACTAACATAACATGACGAATTTATTATTTTGCAGAGATCGGAAGATTTATTTAGTCAATTATTTTTTTAATACTTTGAATAATGAACTCTATTTAATTGTGAAACATATTTGCCAAATCAATTACTGACTGACCAGTATTCCAGACTTCGAACTATTATTGACGCTCACGTAATTGAAAGACTAATTTTAAATTTTATGGACTTGGAAATAGAATCTATATTACGTACTCAGAAACGCTTTAACCCTCAGCCAACGAAGCAAAAAAATGTTTTCCTAGATATTTTTTCCGAAAACACCCATGCGTATCCGACTCGTATGCCTGTTCTTCATAATAATGTGAACAAATCCAATTAATTTGGGCCTCATTCATTACACACTCGACACGCGTCACTAACTCACATGTTTTACGGGCGACAACGTTATGGCAACGGTTATTTTTAGTTATTTTACACGTGGTGTAGTTATTTTACGTTGTCGGTAAGAAACGATGTTTTAAAAGAGTTTGTAGTAGGGACTAGATTCATTAACATTTTTATGGCTATTAATAAGCGGCAGAAGTTATTTTGAAGACATTTTAATGAAGGGTATAATTAAGATAAATATTTTTTATATTTGACAAAATCTTTACCTAAAAGTTACTCTTCAAAATAAGGTGTTCCATTTTTAATTATTATTTCGTTAAATCGCTGTGGTTTTCTGGTATAGTACAGGTATAATCAACATTGTGTTCAAGTGTACAAGCGACAATTACATTTATGTACCCCGTTTTTTACAATAGACAAAAAATACACACACAAACATAAATACATGGAACTTAATTTGAATACAACCATACGTAAAACCGTTAAAATGTAATCAAAATAAACTATCTTCATCTAGTAGAAATTCGGCAGGTATTCAACCTGTCTGAATTTGTAAATACCAATACTGAAAGTTTCTTGTAAAAGGGCTTTTCAGGGCTTGTACCTTTCTCATATTATATACTAGGCTCGACCCATTTAGTTTTCCAATAATCCCCAATGTATATCGACTAAAGTTATCGAGAACTTTATATTCGAATAAAGAAAATAGTTTAGCGAAGATAAAGAACTGTTTTTATGTATTTTATACATGCTACTAAATACTATTACACATATTATTTATTAACTCGATTTAGAAATGCCAATTTATCGAGTTTTAGTAGTTACACGTCAAGGGGGAAATGGAAAAAGAAGACATATATAATGCTAACCCGAACACATACAGGGGCAATTTGGAAAAATGGGTAGGGGTTTTGTAATTACTATTTTTAATCTAAATGAAATTGGTGAATATTTACATACATTTTAGAATCTCTTTTACAGTGTAGATATATCCATTTCAATGCCAATTTATTATTTCAATTCGAAATTAAATCAGTAGACAGTACAGACTTGGTTATTTAATAAATAGAACACATTTCTCAAGTGTTTTTAGAATATTAACACAAAACACTCTTTCGCATTCCTGTACGTAATCTTGAGGCGAATTTACATATTTCCTTATCTTTTCCGTAGATGGTAGGCAGAAACGGTGGTTAGCTAAATGCGCTGCCAAGAATTTTACATGCCATTTGTATTACGTATTTTAATTAAATATTTTTCCTGGTTCATCTTAGGGAAAATTTTGCTTTGAAAAATTGGTTGTCAGCTCGCTTGAATGTTGTGTTTTAATATTTAATCGGAACAAATGTATAGGATTCCTGGTAATGGTATTGGTATG